CCATATTTGGAAATCTTAGTGACGGATATCCATTTTCAACAAAATGGCTGCTGCGCGATCACCATGCAGATGTTTTAAGACAAGAGTTCTGCATTTCAAGGTTAAAAATACACCGTTAAAAGACAAAAAATGGAAAGAGAAAGTTCAAAAGAATGCTCAGCTTTCTTTTTGTGGAGAAAGGGAAGCTTTTCATCAAGAAATCGTCCTTCGACGAATTCAACTTTGTTTTCTTCACGGCGGAGCCCATGGTCTGTTTTGAAATGCAACCAAGTCAGCGAAGATTTTGCTGAATTTTCAGGTACATTTTGCACTCTATGGCCAAGAAAGGGAATTTATGTATTTTTAAATGTTTCATAGACGTTTTATAAATTTTTCTCTTCGGCGCTAAAGAAAAATTACAAAATGTGCCCTGATTTGAGATGGATTTTGTGTTGAATTTTGCTATGTGCTTAGCCAATGTCACTTTCGTGAACGGATCCACGATCCAGATAGTGTTTTCCGAATTGCTATAAAGGATTAACTTTTTGGACTTTGAATAAAAATTTTCAAGAAACGGCTTCTCTGTCTATTGTTTTGAGTTTGTTCATTCATAAAATTAGCTCAAAACACGATCCTGACTACAACATCTAAGTTTAATTTAAGCTTTTAAAATGCTTCTCACATTCATTACAAGCATCACTTTTTCCGAAGATGTCAGGTTCAGGTTTTGGACACTTTCGATACGCAGCTAATGAATTTTATTCGAAAATATTTTTCACTGCTTATTCTAGACTTTTAACATAAGAATTTTAAAAGCCTATTTGCAGTATAAGTTTACTGCGCAGAGGGTCAACGAGGCATCGTTTTTTGAAGTGACAACTTCAAGAAGTTGCGAGGCCGTCAATGGCTTTCATAATGTTACGTTTGGCCCGGGTGGTAAGGCAATAATATCCTGCTCAGTGTTTCGATAATATTCCTGGTTTCAACCTTTAAAAGCTTTGTCGGCTTTCCGCTGTTTTTCCCCCGTTTGTCGGCCATTTCTTTAAGCAGGCGCGGGAACCTGAAGGAAAATTACGTCACGTTGTTTGCGAAGTTTGATTGGTCAGTTATCTCTTCTTCTCGTTCCAAATATGGTACTTTCTAAAATGAATAATCACGAGCATCGGACAAAGCAAAAATATGAGAGTTACACGTTTCAACCCCTTATGAGTTTCTGATGAAGCTTAATACTCTAACGCCACGTACACCACGCATAAGTAAATCTTGAAACAGGCCAAACAAAACCATACTTCAGTACCACATCCGTACGAGAATTTACGAAATAAAAATATACGCCAACTAATCTTTTATTATTGCTATTACCATTAATTCAGTACGCTAGAAAGCCATGTGAAATCCAGTACAGTCGTGTTAATGACATTATAGAGTACTTAAGAAATTCAAATGAATGAAGAAAATTGAGTTCACGAATTTTTCTGGCTGCTTTTCCACTAAAAAGAGGGTTAACCGAAGATCACCGAAGTAGTGAGATACAGCAACTTCTATTACATTACTAGAACGGATCCATCGAGTTATAGCACGAAGTTTGCTTGCTCCTCGAATTATTTAAGAATTTTACAATCTATCAAGGGGGCAAACATGGCAAAGGCCGTGAAGATACAAGGTTACATTCCTGTCGACTAATAAAACGTTGAAAGTTGCAGCACATACAGGATGGTTGATGGTGGCGTGGAGTTAAGTTACTTGGATACTTGCACAAGCCGGAAACAAAACTGCAGGACAAAGACGAAAGACTCGACAGCTTCAATTTTGTTTGGCGACTTGATGCGAATGAATGTCAGCCGAAACATTTAGCTCGCTCTATTTTGCCTTGCTTCCAAATATATCTACCTTAATCGTCCTCAAAAAATTGACAGAGCTGTGTGCCCCCAAAATAAACCCTTCACGAGCGGACTCGTCGCTTCTGAGAAAAACAAGATCAAGTTGCATCCAAGAAGTCTGCTTTTCATCCTTCCCAGCTTCCCTTGCAAGCGTTACTCTTGACCATGCCCTGTTATCACTTTAAATATTAAATAGGCAGGGTTTTGAACGAGACTGGACCTCCACATCTCAATTCCCAGACGTCAAACATCATGTCCTCTGCTGTCGAGTTACCAGGAGCAACTATTGAGCGCGGGGTGTCACGGCTCATGAGAAAGATGCAACAGAGGCTGCCTGAGCACAAGGGAGATGCCGCCGGGCCTAAAATTCGGCCCGCAAGGGGAAAGCCCTGAAGAGGAGGTTGCACTGTGTTCCGTAGGCTGACAACTGATCAAACAAACCAAATATTGCATTTTCATTCACTCCTTTTGATTGAGTCCACCCGGCGCGAGGGTGCCACACTTATGAATAAAGCGCATCTCCTTGCGTCTTCTTTTGTCTTGTTCGGGTAGACCAGCTCTAATCACAGCTACTTGCATGTGCTCCAGCTGGTGGTCCACTCCCGCAAATGGGCAGGCACTGGCAGGGCCATTTTTATCTTAATGACGTCCAACCGGTGCTCCCGAAAACGGTCGCCAAGTCTACGGCCTGTCTCTCCTATGTAAACGACCCTAGGGCATTTGCGACACAAAATACAGGGTGTCCCAAAAGTTCGTTCGTCTCCTTTATAAGTCTGTAATGCAGTACGATTGCACTTGATCAGCACATAATTTAAACCAAAGTTGTGACTTTAAATCTAATTTAATATTTCATACTTCTTGTTCCCTCTTTTGACTCGAAATTCGATTTGTGTAATTTCGCGCCAAAGGTGCGCTGCGCGAGTAAATTTTCCCGCCATATATTTTTTGCATTTTGTAGCCCGAAATGCTCGAACTCCTAACTTGTTTTGTGTGAATATCCTGAAAGATAAACCCCCTCAACGAAAAAAACGCTCAGCTAGGTGCGAGCAGAAGCATGTACTTCTGTCTACTGGCTTTTCAGTTAAAGAAATTCCTAAAAAAAAATGGAAAAATCCGAATGTTGGGTGGTAAGATGGTCATAGAGAAATGAAGGTTTTACAGAGAAGAAACGAGGGGGAAGACCGAAAGTCCTGCTAAAATAGTTTTAAAGAAGGCCATGTACAAAACAGGAAACCCAGCGAGGAAGATCTTACAACAGTTAGCAAGTTAAGTCTGGAGCAGGTTCGTGAAAAGCAAAGTTTGGAGACCCCTGAGATGGCAATAAAATACCTCTATTTAGTCCACAAAAAAAGTTCAGCTTGTCTCAAAAAGTTGTAAAGAAGTACATAAAACCTTACTGTGGAAACGGACCGGGACGATTATCTTTTCTTGGATCAATGCCCAACATAATTTTTTCAGCTGCCTAATCTAAAACATTATACTGTTTCGGGATCGAAGTGGTTCCTGCTTACCAGGTGATAAAAAAGCTTAAAATGAATCATCTCTTGGGCTCTAAACGCTACATTGCTACAGAGAGTGATAAAAAAAACAATGTGGCCATGCCAGTTACTGAACTTCTGAACGCATGTACTCACAGAGTAATAAACATCCTTTAGAAATTTCATGTCAAAATGAAATTTTGATCCAAAGTTTTAGCTCAATCATGAAATTAGAGGAACGAACTTTTGGGACATCCTGTAAATCAGATTTTTGTTTTTTATCTTGTCACTTGATAATGGTGTCATAGCGACATCGAAACGTTGTGTTAAACTCATTTGGCTAATTTTTATTCTTAAATAGGACTTCATTTGCATTGATATTTTAAGAAAAAATTATAGTCGTGGATAAACCACGCGGGTTTCACCACTGTTACCCTATTTTCAGACCACTTGTAATTCGAACAGTCCCCAAACTCAGACCGATGTATCGAGGCACCAACATCTCTAACAAAAACTCGCTGGATTCATATGAATAGATTTATCATATATATTTCGTTGCAAAAAAGAAAGGAAAGGAAGTTAATAGTTGGCACTGTCAGAGCTGTCTGAGAGTCAACATGAAACTACTATTTAATTAAAAGTAATACCTTTAATACTCACTGAGTATACAACTAGGACATCCCCATTGCTTAATGCACTATAAATGTGGCTCCTTCTTAATTTTCATCAAGGTCGTCAATGATTAAGCAAAGCTCAAAGCAAAGAACGGTGGTTGTCCTCCGAGTGTGATGACCTCTCACTGGGATGGAGGAACTTCCTCGATCATGATTCCAATCTGAGCAACTCTGTGAATGTTGCTGTCTGTTTTTCCGTGATTTCTATAAATAAGCAACACGCTATCGATGGCGAAAGGTTTGCGACACTTTACACCATTGAAGGTGAAAAACCAACGCGAACAGCAGTCCAGACAGTAGCCGATTCTAACGTCACCATTATATTCCACTTTTAAGACGGTGTTATTGGCTACTTTGGTAAAAACGCAGCCCTAAAAAAATAAAGGAAATAAAGACGTCGAAATTCATCAAAATGAAAAAGAAAGAAAAAGTCTATAGATAAGGGTCAAAGAGTAGTTCAGAAACTATGAAATTGTTAACGGCTCTTAAAATTTAAATTAGAAATTTACATAACCGGTTAATAATTAGCTACGATTATTAATACTAGATAGAATGATATACAGGTAAATGATTAAACGATAAAAAAAGAAATTAGAAAAAGTTCAATGTTCATTCCTTCGGTTCAGACCTGTCTGGTGACAGGGTTTTGCCTCTATCTATGAGGTACGCTTCTCTTGCTTTACGGCATTATTTCCTGAGAGTGGGTTGTATAAATTTCAGCGGACTCAGTTCCATGTCTGCGATCGAGTGGCCCGGTTGATTAAAGTGGAAAGGGACTGCTGCTCTGATTGTTATACGTTTACATGTTTACATTTTTTTTATTAACATGTTTGCGCGTGCAACTTTTAATAGTTACTGAATATACATCCCCATAAAGTAATGCACTATAAATATGGCTCCTACTTAATTTAAATCAAGGCCCTGAATGATCAAGCAAATATCAAAGTAAAGAACCGTGAATGTCCTTCTCTGTGTGTTGTCTTGACCTCTCACTGCGATGGAGGAACTTCCTCGATCATGATTCGGGTCACGGAATTCCATCCAGTAAAAGCATCTGCAGCTTTCGTTCCCACGCAGCTACCGACATTGATTCCCACTCGGACGGTTCCCTTGGGGATTCCTTTGCAGTATCCTCCAATCTGAGTAACTTTGTGAATGTTCGTGTCTGTTCTTCCGTGATTTGAGGCGATATGCATCAGGCCATCAATGGCGAGAGGTCTGCGACATTCCACACCATTAAAGGTGAAAAACCATCGCGAACAGCAGCCGAGACATCCAGCGATTCTGATGTCGCCATTGTACTCCACTTTTAAGGCGGTGCTATCGGCATGTTTATGAAAAACGCAGTCCTAAAAAAAGAAATAAAGACGTTGAAATTCATCAAAATCAAAAAGAAAGAAAAAGCCTATCAATAAAATCATTCAGACTCTCTCTGGACGTTATTAGAGTAATAAATTTGAATAAACCCTTTTCAGCTGCCTTTTACCTTTATCAATCCACTGTCTTTACCGTCATCGATCCTATTCCAAGCACACTGTTTCCAGTTTCTCTGCAGGCCTTGGCTACCCTGTTCACCTTTAGCCCCTTTAGGTCCCATTTTTCCAGGTGCTCCTGATTGTCCTCTAAGGCCCTTGTTTCCCTGTGGCCCTACAGGTCCCTTATCTCCTGGTGGCCCTACAGATCCTTGGTCTCCCTTGGCTCCATCTGTTCCATTGAGCCCAGGGACCCCTGGCTCGCCATTGGTCGAAATGTTGATGACAGTTGGGCATTGAGGCCTTGCCTAATATTAATATAAAAAGTTTTTTCTTTATTTCACTTTTAGGTATTGTAATACTTTCAGGGCCTAAGAGACTTCTAGGTTGAAAATTGCTATTAACCGTTCATAACATGTTTTAAGACTGTTTCACTTATTTCTCGTCTTTTTCTTTATTAAATCCTTAGGGGAAATCTTCATGCAGTTTAGAAAATAGGCAAGTCGGGTTTGTTTATTGCCTAGATAAAACCACACCGCTATTCGATAAAAACTGCGCATGCGTACAGTTGTCTTCGGATGTTTTGCAGTAAAGGAGGCGCTAAAAAGGAAATTCCTTGCACTAGACCGAGACAGTGTCACAAACTTTCATCGAAGAAAATGTATCATAATTAGTCGTATACTTGTTAGTGCATTCAGGAAAACACCTCGCTTCATAAGAATCGAAAAAAATTGCTCCTACAACTAAAGGGAAGTCATGAAACTGTAGCGCAAAATACTTACGTTTGACTGGTAGGCAGAAAAAGCTAACTTTGTAACCATGCATGTGGTAAGCAAGATTGTTATATAGCTCATCGTTCTGTTGATTTCTTGAATGACTGAATTTCTTTGAATCTTCAAGAAATCTCTAAAAGGACGAAGAAAACAATTCAATTTTTTGAAAGAAAACAACTAAGATTACTTAACTGAAATAACTCTCAAATTGTAAGGTTTAAGTCCGTTATGCAACATGCCGCAGGGAGTAGTAACGTCAAATAAACAGAGATGAGAACAGCTCTTTTTTCGAGAAACTGACTATGCATGTGCACCAAGGAGTATAAAAGGCTACACTCGGCTTGTTACTTGTGTTAGCCTTATCATTAAAGCATCTCTGAAGAGAAACTTACAATTCTGCTCTTGATCGATTGATTCTTCAATGCTCTATCTGAATTCCTGATTTCTTGGGGACTTAAATGTCATATCACTATCAGCAGCTGGCCAAATGGTGTTGAATAAGTTGTAAATTTAGTTTAAAATGTTTATCAGCAGCTGGCAGAATGGCAAAATGCCAAGTAAAAATTTATTAAATAAAAATACAGAACTTGTGATTAAAATAAAACATTTCTAGATCGCTTTAAGAGTCCGTTAAATCTATTCGATTTAGTTAAATGCATTTAAGACTTGGATTCGATTGCATGATCCGCTAAATAAAACCTTTATAGTTAAATCGATTTAAGACTTTTCATTTAATCTATTTACTTAAGTCTATTTAAGAAAAAGTAGTTCGTTATAACACCGTTTAGCCAGCTGCTGATCATGATTCGACTAGTAAATTTTAGTTATTAAAATGCATTAATTTGAATTAATAGGATACTGTTGCTCTAAAAGCCGTGAAAGTCATTCTATAAATGCAAAAAATTACATTTAGTCTGCGTTAAGCAATAAAATAAAATGCATGAAAAAGGTTTCCATTGGCATTTTCAAATGTGTTCTTTCTCTTATCCTTCCAAATTTTCGAAAAATCATGGTTTTTGTAAAAGACTTGTAAATATTACGCAGTTGACTGATGAATTATTCAAACAAAACTGAACAAGGAAGAATAGACAGAGGTTTAACCATCACGTTTAAGTCAAACGGTAAACGCGAATTTGTACGACGTGACTATACGTTTCCTCTTTACTTGTCGTTTACTGTTCAATATTTTTGCACCCAAATTAGTAGTTTCACGCAATTTTTTATCCATAAGAATTGTCTTGAGCCGTTTTTATCTGCTCACGTTCTATTTTGAAAAATCGTCAGTCAAATGCTGCCGTATACGTGAAGCTTAATACTCTAATGCCACGTACACCACGCATAAGTATATCTTGAAACGGGCCAAACAAAACCATACTTCAGTACCACATCCGTACGAGAATTTATAAAATAAAAACATACACCAAATAATCTTTTATCATTGCTAGTATCATTAATTCAGTACGGTACAAAGCCATGCGAAATCCAGTACAGTTGTGTTAATGACATTATAGAGAACTTAAGAAATTCAAATGAATGAAGAAAATTGAGTTCACGAATTTTTTTTGGCTGCTTTTCCACTAAAAAAGAGGGTTAACCGAAGATCACCGAAGTAGTGAGATACAGCGACTTCTACTACATTACTAGAACGGATCCATCGAGTTATAGCACGAAGTTTGCTTGCTCCTCGAATTATTTAAGAATTTTAATATCTTTTAGGGGGACAAAGGCCGTGAAGATACCGGGTTATACTCCTGCCGACTAATAAAATGTTGAAAGTTGCAGCACATACAGGATGGTTGATGGTGGTGTGGAGTTTAAGTTACTTGGATACTTGCACAAGCCGGAAACAAAACTGCAAGACAACGACGAAAGACTCAACAGCTTCAATTTTGTTTGGCGACTTAACGCGAAAGAATGTCAGCCGAAACATTTAGCTCGCTCTGTTTTGCCTTGCTTCCAAATATATCTACCTTTATCGTCCTCATAAAATAGACAGAGCTGTTTTTCTTCCAAAATAAACCCTTCGGCGTGACTTCGGCGGGCGGACTCGTCGCTTCTGAGAAAAAGAAGATCAAGTCGAATCAAAGGAAGTCTGCTTTTCATCCTTCCCAGCTTCCCTTGCAAGCGTTACTCTTGACCATGCCCTGTTATCGCTTTAAATATTAATTAGGCAGGATTTTGAACGAGACTGGACCTCCACATCTCAATTCCCAGACGTTAAACATCATGTCCTCTGCTGTCGAGTTACCAGGAGCAACTATTGAGCGCAGGGTGTCACGGCTCATGAGAAAGATGCAACCGAGGCTGCCTGAGCACAAGGGAGATGCCGCCGGGCCTAAAATTCGGCCCGTAAGGGAAAAGCCCTGAAGAGGAGGTTGCACTGTGTTCCGTAGGCTGACAACTGATCAAACAAACCAAATATTGCATTTTTATTCACTGCCAAACTTATGAATAAAGCGCATTTCCTTTCGTCTTCTTTTGTCTTGTTCGGGTAGACCAGCTCTAATCACGGTTACTTGCATGTCCTCCAGCTGCTGTTCCACTCCCGCAAAATGGGCAGGCACTGGCAGGGCCATTTTAATCTTAATGACGTCCAACCGGTGCTCCCGAAAACGGTCGCCAATTCTACGGCCTGTCTCTCCTATGTAAACGACCCCAGAGCATTTGCGGCACAAAATACAGGGTGTCCCAAAAGTTCGTTCGTCTCCTTTATAAGTCTGTAATGCAGTACGATTGGACTTGATCAGCACATAATTTAAACCAAAGTTGTGACTTTCAATCTAATTTAATATTTCATACTTCTTGTTCCCTCTTTTGACTCGAAATTCGATTTGTGTAATTTCGCGCCAAAGGTGCGCTGCGCGAGTAAATTTTCCCGCCATATATTTTTTGCATTTTGTAGCCCGAAATGCTCGAACTCCTAACTTGTTTTGTGTGAATATCCTGAAAGATAAACCCCCTCAACGAAAAAAACACTCAGCTACATGCGAGCAGAAGCATGTATTTCTGTCCACTGGCTTTTCAGTTAAAGAAATTCCTAAAAAAAAAAAAGGAAAAATCCGAATGTTGGGTGGTAAGATGGTCATAGAGAAATGAAGGTTTTACAGAGAAAAAACGAGGGGGAAGACGGAAAGTCCTGCTAAAATAGTTTTAAAGAAGGCCATGTACAAAACGGGAAACCCAGTGAGATAGATCTTACAACAGTTAGCAAGTTAAGTCTGGAGCAGGTTCGTGAAAAGCAAAGTTTGGAGACCCCTGAGATGGCAAAAAACCCTTTACTCCCGGCCAGGGCCGTCCGCCAAGCAACGTTCAGCTCGTCTCAAATTTGTGAAGAAAAACAAAAGCCTTACTGTGGAAAGGGGACGGAATGATCATCTTTTCTTGGATCAACGCCCAAAATATATTGTTTCAGCTACCTAATCTAAAAAATTACCTTGTTTGGGGGTCGAAGTGACTCCTGCATACTAGGTTATAAAAAAGCTCAAAATGAATCATCTAGGGCTCTACATGCTACATGGCTTATCTCACTTAATGCCGCAACGGCTACAGGGTGTGATAAAAAACAAAGGGAGGATGTCGGTAACTGAACTTCTGAACACAAGTACTCCATAGAGTAAGAAACATATTTTAGAAATTTCATGTAAAAATGAAGTTTTGATCTAAAGTTGTAGCGCATGAAATTAGAGGAACGAACTTTTGGGACCCCCTGTACAACAGATCAGCTGGCTGGTGATGCACGTAAAAAACCCTGAGATTTTGATCTGACCTTGTGTAATGGTAATGCGGTCAGAGGAGTTAATGAAGGGACAGGTCCGGCAGTCACGTGTGACGCAAGTAGCCGTGATTAGAGCTGGTCTACCTGAACAAGACAAAAGAAGACGCGGGCAAATGCGCTTTGTTCATAATTTTGGCACCCTCGCGCCGGGTGGACTCAATCAAGATTACTCTTTCATGTGACTTGCGCGCGCGCACACTCGTTTGTTTTTACCCGCACATTTTCAAATGTTCAAATTTTCCGCTACAGTATAGAACTCACATATTTTCCCTGATGAAGGCAGCATTGCCGAAACGTCGGAGTTTTATTTGCAATTATCAGCGTTTAACTTACCACCTTCCTACAATATGGTAAACCCGACGAGGTAGCTATCATAGCAGATAGCAAGCTAAGTTTGGAGCAGGTTCATGAAAAGCAACGCTTAGAGACCCCTGAGAGGGCAATAAAATACCTCTATTTAGTTCACAAAAAAAGTTCAGCTTGTCTCAAAAAGTTGTAAAGAAGTACATAAAGCCTTACTGTGGAAACGGACCGGGATGATTATCTTTTCTTGGATCAATGCCCAAAATATTTTTTTCAGCTGCCTAATCTAAAACATTATACTGTTTGGGGATCGAAGTGGTTCCTGCTTACCAGGTGATAAAAAAGCTTAAAATGAATCATCTCTTGGGCTCTACACGCTACATTGCTACAGAGAGTGATAAAAAAACAATGTGGCCATGCCAGTTACTGAACTTCTGAACACAGGTACTCGACA